GGCAGTGAAGTGGAAGGAAGTGAAGGGACATGCCAGGAAACTTAGAGGGAAAGGAGATGAAAGAACGGGAAGGGGTGCCCGGTGGCCGGCTGTGTCGCGTCAGCGTGTAAATCCGGCCACCGGACGTGATCGGGCCGCAGGCCAAAGCCCGGTAGGGCTTACCTTCAGGTCTAAGGCCGCGCGCCCCATGCCGCCGACCATGAGCGGACCATGCGCAGAACATGCGCATACGTTTTATGCTGGGCCCTCCCTTATAAGGGGCGAAGGATTTGCGGATTGGTTTAGGCGATTTTTGTAGCATCTCCCCGCAGCATCCAAAAACGAGTCCAAAAACGAGTATTTTTGGGGGGTGCCTAATACTGGACAACACCCCCAGCATTGCCAGCATCATCCTGGATGATGTGGATGATGCTATGCATGCTGGCGATGCGAAACAAGGGGCTGAAAGGAAACAGGAGTGACTGGAAGTGAACAAAATGCAAGTCAAAGGCATTGCACGAAAATGAAGAGGGCGCTGGAGAGAAACCAAGCTGCAGGAAAATGCAAGAACGAAAAGGGAAAGGAATGCGAATGAAGGAGCCTTCAAGGAAATGAAGGGAGCTGAAGCGGCAGTGAAGTGGAAGGAAGTGAAGGGACATGCCAGGAAACTTAGAGGGAAAGGAGATGAAAGAACGGGAAGGGGTGCCCGGTGGCCGGCTGTGTCGCGTCAGCGTGTAAATCCGGCCACCGGACGTGATCGGGCCGTAAGGCCGCGCGCCCCATGCCGCCGACCATGCTCCGACCATGCGGGTACGTTTTGGGCTGGGCCTTCCTTATAAGGGGCGAAGGATTCGCGGATTGGTTTAAGCGATTTTTGCAGCATCTCCCCGCAGCGTCAAAAACGAACATTTTTAGGTGGTGCCTAATACTGGACAACACCCCCAGCATTGCCAGCATCATCCCGGATGATGCGGATGATGTTATGGATGCCGGCGATGCGGGTGATGCTGGGGATGTTGTCCCCTAAGTCGGGCCAATTTTGCCGAAAACGTGCAACCTGAAAATCTTAAAATCTAAAGTGGATGGAAATGGATGGAAAATGGCCTGGATTGAAATCTCAAAATCCTAAAGTCTTAGATTCTTAAAATCTTAAATTAATATCTAACAATCAATCTTAGAATCTCAAGATCTTAAAATCTTAGAACTTAGAATCTTAAAATATATAAAAACTTCCTAAAGTCTTCGAATCTTGAAATCTTAAAAACCTTATGTCTTAGAATCTTGAGATCTTAAACTCTTAAAATATGAAATCTTAGAACCTTAATTCTTAAACCATTGAAACCTTACATTCCGAAAGTCTTCAAATCTGAGACCCTTAGAATCTCAAAGTTTTTAGAATTTTAAAATCTTAACATCTACTCATCGGACTTACAGGAACGGGAAGTGACAGAAACCCTCATGTCTTTGAATCTTCAGATGTTAAAATCTTAAAATATGAAATTCCTAAATTCTCAAAGTCTGAAAATCTCAGAATCTTAAAAGCTTCAAAAACTTAAATTCTTTAAATCTCGAACTATTGCAGTCTGAAAATCTTAAATTCATAAACAAGTAAAATATAATAAAATTCCTTCAATACGGGCTATATTATTCTAAATTCCTTAAACTCTTAATCTTCAACTTTTGAAGTCTTGACATCTTAAGATCTTAAAATCTTAAATTCCGAAAGTCGCCAAATCTGAAAATCTCACAAAAAATAGAATCTTAAAGCCTTCGAAATCTGATAATGGATGGTAAATGGCTGGGCAATGGCCTGGCTGTTATAACCTTCAAAAGCCTTAAATCTTCGAATCTTAAAACCTTAATTCTTCAACCATTGAAACCTTAAATTCCGAAAGTCTTCAAATCTGAGACCCTTAGAATCTCAAAGTTTTTAGAATTTTGAAATCTTAACATCTACTCATCGGACTTACAGGAAAGGGAAGTGACAGAAACCCTCATGTCTTTGAATCTTCAGATGTTAAAATCTTAAAATATGAAACTCCCAAATTCTCAAAATCTGAAAATCTCAGAATCTTAAAAGCTTCAAAAACTTAAATTCTTTAAATCTCGAACTATTGCAATCTGAAAATCTTAAATTCATAAACAAGTAAAATATAATAAAATTCCGTCAATCCGGGCAATATTCTAAATTCCTTAACCTCTTAATCTTCAAATTTTGAAGTCTTGACATCTTAAGATCTTAAAATCTTAAATTCCGAAAGTCGCCAAATCTGAAAATCTCAAAAAACATACAATCTTAAAGCCTTGGATGGAAAATGGCTGGGCAATGGCCTGGCTGTTATAACCTTCAAAAACCTTAAATCTTTGAATCTTAACACCTTAATTCTTCAACCATTGAAACCTTAAATTCCGAAAGTCTTCAAGTCTGAGACCCTTAGAATCTCAAAGTTTTTAGAATTTTAAGATCTTAACATCTACTCATCGGACTTACAGGAAAGGGAAGTGACAGAACGGGCAGGGCAAGGCGCCCGGTGGCCGGCTGTGTCGCGTCAGTGTAAATCCGGCCACCGGACGTGATCGGGCCGCAGGCCAAAGCCCGTTAGGGCTTACCTTCAGGTATAAGGCCGCGCGCCCCATGCCGCCGACCATGAGCGGACCATGCGGGTACGTTTTGGGCTGGGCCTTCCTTATAAGGGGCGAAGGATTCGCGGATTGGTTTAGGCGATTTTTGTAGCATCTCCCCGCAGCGCCCAAAAACGAGCATTTTTAGGTGGTGCCTAATACTGGACAACACCCCCAGCATTGCCAGCATCATCCCGGATGATGCGGATGATGCTATGCGTGCTGGCGATGCGAAACAAGGGGCTTAGGGGAAATGCAAGGGAAACAGCATGAAGAAGGAAGCAACTGCGGCCTTTTCGGCTCTGACACCATGCGCACTCCCTGGCTGGCGCGACCATCGCCTTTTCTCCATGGCTGAAGCGGTCTATGACTGAGAAGCGCCCTGTGGGCAACTTGCCGCCTCCTCCCTTTCGAGCGCGTTTGCAATCGCGACTCCTGCTTCTTCTCCATGGCTGTAGAGGCACATGACTGAGAAGCGCCCTGGGGGCAACTTCCGCCATGCTTCCGTTCTAGCGCGTGCATGCTGCTTCAACCTGCGCATGTGGGTTTAGCGTGTTGGCGCGCTTCTGTGGTTTTAGCTGTCGAGCAGTTTGCACAAGGCTTCGCGCTGGGGTGCTTACAGGGGGGAGGAATGCGACTGACACGGCGCTCAAGGAAGTGCAGGGAGCTCAAACGCACAGGAATCTCAAAGTTGCAGGAAAGACGCGCAAAGGAAGTGAGGTTCAAATCTCGGCATCTCATCCGAATTAAAGGACAGGGAAGTGACAGAACAGGCAGGGCAAGGTGCCCGGTGGCCGGCTGTGTCGCGTCAGCGTGTAAATCCGGCCACCGGACGTGATCGGGCCGCAGGCCAAAGCCCGTTAGGGCTTACCTTCAGGTATAAGGCCGCGCGCCCCATGCCGCCGACCATGCGCAGAACATGCGCAGAACATGCGCAGAACATGCGCAGAACATGCGCATATGCTTTATGCTGGGCCCTCCCTTATAAGGGGCAAAGGATTTGCGGATTGGTTTAGGCGATTTCCGAGGATTTTTGCAGCACCTCCCCGCAGCGCCCAAAAACGAGTCCAAAAACGAGCATTTGTAGTGGGTGCCTAATACTGGACAACACCCCCAGCATTGCCAGCATCATCCTAGATGATGCGGGTGATGTTACGCATGCTGGCGATGCGGGGGATGCGGGGGATGTTGTCCCCTAAGTCGGGCCAATTTTGCCGAAAAACGTGCAACCTGAAAATCTTAAAATCTAAAGTGGATGGAAAATGGATGGAAAATGGCCTGGATTGAAATCTCAAAATCCTAAAGTGTAAGATTCTTAAAATCTTAAAATAAAATCTAATAATCAATATTAGAATCTCAAGATCTTAAAATCTTAGAACTTAGAATCTTAAAATCTGAAAATATAAAAACTTCCTAAAGTCTTCAAATCTTGAAACCTTAAACACCTTATGTCTTAGAATATTGAGATCTTAAACTCTTAAAATATGAAATTCCTAAAGTCTTACAATCTTAAAATCTCAGAATCTTAAAAAGCTTTAAAAACCTCGAACAATTGAAATCTGAAAATCTTAAATTATGAAAAAAAGTACCTTCCTTCAATCCGGGCTATATTTTAACTTCCTTAAACTCTTAATCTTGAATCGTTGAAATCTTGAAACCTTAAGATCTTAAAATTACAACCTTAGAAGATAGAATCTTGCAACCTGAAAAATATAAACATCCTCAAGTCTTCGAATCTTGACTTCTTAAAACCCTCATGTCGTTGAATCTTCAGATGTTAAAATCTTAAAATATGAAATTCCGAAAATCTCAAAATCATAAAATCTCAGAATCTTAAAAGCTTCAAAAACCTAAATTCTTTAAATCTCGAACTATTGCAATCTGAAAATCTTAAATTCATAAACAAGTAAAATATAATAAAAGTCCTTCAATCCGGGCTATATTCTAAATTTCTTAAACTCTTAATCTTCAAATATTGAAGTCTTGACATCTTAAGATCCTAAAATCTTAAATTCCGAAAGTCGGCAAATCTGAAAATCTCGCCAAAAATAAAATCTTAAAGCCTTCGAAATCTGATAATGGATGGAAAATGGCTGGGCAATGGCCTGGCTGTTATAACCTTCAAACACCTTAAGTCTTTGAATCTTAAAACCGTAATTCTTAAACCATTGAAGCCTTAAATTCCAAAAGTCTTCAAATCTGAGACCCTTCGAATCTCAAAGTGTTTAGAATTTTTAAATCTTAACATCTACTCATCGGACTTACCGGAAAGGGAAGTGACAGAACGGGCAGGGCAAGGTGCCCGGTGGCCGGCTGTGTCGCGTCAGCGCGTAAATAAGTCTGAAAAGCCGATAGGGCCCACCCAAAACCGCGTTTGAGTATATGTGTCAAATGACGTGTCAAATGTACGGAAACATCACCTCAGGACAACGTACATGGGCGCGAGATCTGACTCAGGACAAAATGACCAGTGCCAAAAAAGAACCAAAACAAGAATGTAGGGAACCATAATAGCTGGTTTGAACGCAGCGTCCCACATCTCCTGCGTTTTCGACTTCGCCAAGGCATTGAGCTCCAAAAGCCGGACGATGGCCCGATCCACACGGTCCGCAGGAGGCGGATCGGGCATCTTCGACAGGAATTCTCGGGGATCCCCCAGGTTGGGCAACTCGAAGATGGAAAGGAGCAGATCTTCCAACCTGCGGGTGGGTTCTCAATATGGCTGTGGTGGGATTGCACAAATTGGGTTACCATTTCCAAAATGGCTTGCTCGATCGGCAAATGGAAACAACCTGCGGTCCAATTCCTGGTGGCTTAATTTTGACCCATACCCCCATATGAAATTGAAAGCTCAAAACAGGACCGAGAAGAACGGTGCGAACCCGTCCTGCTGTGCTTGATCTGCGGCTCTGCGTGTTTCTGCAAACGATCATAGGACTCCTTGCTAATCAAGCGGACGACTTCCCCGTCCCGGACCCGGCCAGTTCGACCAGAGCGTTGCTTGGCCTCATCCTGACTCACCAAGACTAAGGTGAGAAGGCTTTGTTTTCTTCCTGCATCCCAACGGAGGCGCTTCTGCTCGCAGGTGTCTATGACCAAATCCACATCAGGGATCGTCACAGAGGACTCGATGACATCAGTCCCCAAGATCACCGTGCGCGCGTGATCCTGAGACTCTGACAGGACCCTCTCCTGCTCTTCAATCGTCTGCCCGCCAAAGATGCATTGCACCTTCAAGTTGCGGATCTCCTCAAGCCTCTCACGCAGGAGCGTCACCTCTCGCTTCCCAGGCAAAAAGATCAAGAAGGAGGCCAAATCTTTGCGCCTGGCTCGCTCCTCGTGACACCATCGGATGAAATCCGCATACAAGTCAGACACCTCTTCCTGAGACCACTCGGCAGGAAATCCGAACTGCTCCCAAGCACCGTCTTGTCCTCGCCGACTGAGTGAACGCTCTCTGAAAAAAGGCAAGTCATCCATGTACTTGATGTCCAGCCGAAATGGCCTGCACTGCTCCAGATCCAAAGGCTTTGGCACAGTGCCGCCTAAACCACTTGCAAAGTACGTCGCGATCTTTGCAGCATCCATGGCAGCAGACATCAGAATGATTTTTACTTGCGTGTTGTGTCGAAGCACTTTCGTGACAACCAGACTCAACAAGAAGTCGATGTGCGCATCTCCTTAGCTTCGATTGGTTTCACAAACATGCTCCGGGGCCGGGTGCAGTTTTCCACAAGGTCTGCTAGTCAAGGCTCTGATGTGTACTTCATCAATAATCAAATGCGTGAAGCTGGAGCAATCCTGGAGACACTGGATCATGGCAATGGCCGTGGTGGCGAATATCAGCCGAGTGCCGCCAGACCGGCACACCTCGCTGCATCCTGCCAAGGCCAAAGCTAAACTTCAACTCAGCGCCCCTCCAAACACCAGCCAAAGCTTCACAAGTCAAAAGCACAAGCCACAGAAAACAATCCCCATCCTCAAAACTCGCAACAAGCGCACAAGAGGGGCCCAAGAGAAGCCATGCACAAGCACAACACAGGCGAGCGGCTCCGGCGCGCTTGGAATTATCTTGCTCGCGTGTCTTGCGAGTGTCTTCTATCCAGGGTTGAGTATGCTGCAAGCCCCAAGAACGGCAAGGGGGGACGGCGTCCAAGTCAAATCAATCAGAAGCATCTTGCTCGTTTCCTGATTCGGCAACTACTGACTCGGCAAGAATAAAGTGTCTGATTTGGAAACTTGGAATGTCTGACTCAGCAAATAGCTGGTCGGAGTCGCGAACTAGACTGAAGCTTGACATCCCCGCCCAAGTTAACCTACTCCAGTTGAAGTTGAAGCTGCCAAGCGTGTGTAGCCATCTTTGAGCTGGGGGCTAAGCAAGATGTCCCCAATCCCCAAAACAGGGCTGCGATGCCCAAGCCCTGGGCAGGACACGGACAATCCGGTTGGAGATGCCATGGCTTTAACCCGCGGGCCTCCGATTTTGTAGCCCACTTCGCTTCCGAGCGCTACGCCTCGATGCGCGGCCACTCGCCGCGCAAGGCTCGTGGCGGCAATGCGGCGGGGCTGCGTCACCAAGATGCGAGACTCCCGGTCCTGGCTTCGAGCCCCGGCTTCATGTCTCTCAACAGTTCGAGCCCTGCTTTGGGAAAGGCAAACCCGGAAACAGAACTCCGGACTGCACTCATACACCTGAGGGTCGGTGTCAAAGTCGCACGTCAAATGGAAAACCCAAAAGGGTACTGACCGTTTAGAGCGGTCCCCTCTGAGCAATTCCCGTGTAGGAAATCCTGATCCCACGCTGCGCAAAACATGGTCCTCATCCAGGATCATCTGTGGAATTCCTGAGCCGCTTCTCTCAAACCAAACCCCAAGTGTCTGAATCAGCCAGGCATTTGAATTGGCAAGTGGTGCGAGGGGCCATGTTCAACAGTGTCCTGTCTTGCCCAAAGCACTCTCTGTTTTATTCCATCAAGGGCAAGCCCATGTTGACATCTGAGCATCTGGTAGACTTCCCGCAGCCCGTCGGAGCCACGATGATTGTCACGCGATTGGTGGCCACTTCCTGCATGATCTTCTCCCTGAAGCGACCCAACGGGGAATCCTCATAAGATCTCTGGGGCTGCAAGACCAAATGCAGAACCTTCGGGTCTGCCGGCGTTGCAGGCAGTGAAGGCTTGGCGACCGCCTCGCTGGATTGCCCTGGCGAAGTGCTCCCTCTGGAATCTTGGGTCTCGGAGATGGGTTCGCATGTCTCTTCCTCTGAAGTGTTGCCTTCCTCGGTCTCTTTGGCACGAGCCAACCATCGGCGCCGCTCGAGAACACCGGCGACGCATGCCAGGATACGCGGGAACTCCTGGGGCTCCGGATGCCGAACTTCCTCTGGGGTGACTCTCAGCTCCGCCAAAGCGCTGATTTCGGGACATTGCACGAAGCAATGCTCGAGCTGCATCTCGCTTGGGACATCCTGATCGCACAGCTGGCACCTGCCAGAAGCCGAACATCGCCTCACCAGATCTTGCCACATGGCCTTGGAAGTGCAAAATCCAATGGCCATGGGTGGCCATTGGCTTTGACAGCCAGTTCATGTCTCTGCAGAAACGTCAAACCCTAAGCGACTGAGAACCGCGCTTTACACTGCTCGTTCCACTCCGTTGCCGCCCGTCGAATCGTTTCCTTTAAGCATGCTGAACCTTCGCCGACGTGTGGGATGTATGCCGGCAGCAATCTGTCTTCGCAAAAGCTGGAAAAGCTCTGCGAGCCCTCGAAGTAGTAGTCCCAGGGTTTCAGCTTGCCGCTGTAATGCAAGACTTTCACATTGTCGAATCGCAACTGCAGCCTTTCTGCCTCAGCACCGGCGTGATCCATCGAATGCGCCAACTGATGAAGCTGGTAGTTGTACTTGAGGTCCATGGATGCCCAATTCTTGAACCAACGGCTCAAGAAATCTTGCTCCGGTCCATTAGAAGCCTCATGCATAGGATCCCTGCTTCTGATGGATGCCTGCATTTTTTGGAGCTCCTCCTGACTGGGCTTTAGCACAGCCACTCCCAGATTCATCCCAAAACGAGGTCGTCCCTGACGATCATAGCAGGACAAGGAGACGTCCACATCCATAGGCAAACTCTTGTGCCCCCGGCGCAAAGCACAAGGAGGCTTCAAATAAGCCAGCTCGTCGATGTTGTCTCTCACCAGCAAATCGATGTCCAGCAAAACCACCCGTTCATAGTCATCGCACCCGAAAACCTCGTCCATAACGCCACGTACAAACTTAGAGCAGAACATCTAGGCTAGTTTAAGCGCTCTTCCTGAAGGTTAGCCAGCTTGAAACCAGCGAAACACGCATTGGGATCACCCGCCTGCAACTTCGTGAAGACGTGGCGGAAACGCTCCTCGCTTCGACAGGTCAACTTTGAGTCAGCTTCCAGGTAGTCCACCTCACGCGTTGTCCAATAGACTTCCAGAAGCCCTGCCCCGGGCACATTCATCACGTCGGCCGTGTGCAGCAACACCAGGTCAAACCGTGTCTCACTCATCTTCAAGGAATGTCCTAGCACCAGCGCTCCCAACACGAAACGCTGGAGCAGTTCTTCATCAGGGCCAAAGAGCACTGTGACAAAGGCGGTGCCTTTGCCTCTGCGCCGGCATCGATTCATGGGCACTTGCTCGGCCCTTTGGCTTCGCAACTCCAGCGGTCGCTTGCAGGTCGGGCACCAAGTCTTCAGACTCCTCTGCCTCCGAAGCTTCAGAATTGGCTGCTCTGCACGTGCGGCGGGTGTTTCCAAGCCTGTCATTTGCACAACGAAGCCGCCCTTCGACTCCTTGATACTCATTCGCAAGGGGCATCTGCGATGCGGACATCTCACCTGGAAGCACTGGTTCCCACAAGTTGAAAGCGCAAAGAAACAGAGAAAATGTGCCAAAAGTAGACACCCCGCTTAGTCCATGTTATGTGGATATCCAGCTGAAGGAGTTCGAACTTTTGACACGCAATATCACCCACTGACCAAGCCTCTTGAACACCTGCAGCGATCTGTAGCTGAGACGGGTGCTGCGCTCCCCTGCCCGTGAGCAGGACCGGAAGTCCTGGAGGCTCTGCAAGCTCTGCGACTTCCCTGGCACCGGTGGGGGTCTCTCCAAACTCGACCGTGGCCAAGCTGCCAGATGCAAGCTGAAAGAACACCACAACCTTTGGGCTGGAAAGCCGACACACCGAAGCGGGATTGAGTAGCGCGGGAGATCTTCTTTAACCCCGCGCCTCAGCAGTTGCTCCGACGGCTTTGGCTGATTCATAGGAGGCAGCGCTTCTCCAAAGCCGTCGGCCGGGATGAAGTCGTCCCCGGCAAAGCAAAACTTCACCACCTGAGCTGAACAAAAAGGTCTACTTACAAACGCGGTTCTGGAAATGCACCCCTGAAACCCCCCAGAAAGAAGGCGAGGATTCCCGGTCCTTCGCGGCCCGGCCGCATGCTCACGCACCCAATCCTCCGAGAAGTTGAAATCTCGCAGCTCGCCGATGTAGTCCCGGAAGTTATCGTTGGACACGATCCTCACCGCGCTTCCGCACTTCGTGGCGTCCACCGCCTTGCATCCACGGACAATGCGGGCCTTTGGAAACTCCAGTGTCAAATGGCTGTGGGTCAAACTAGACCACGGTTGGCCCGAAAGCATCACAGCCGGCGATCATTCCCGCGCAAGTTTTTGTTGCTCGATGTGGTCACGAGCAACACACGGCAACTAACCTTGTTCCTGCTATCTTGCCACCTATCGGACCCCCCCTCACACGAGTTTGCCAAGCACGTCAAAGATGACACATATACCGCCCTCGAGCAAAACAGTGACTACAACGCAAGTGACTCTCATGATGACTCTGCGCAATGACTCTCATGATGATTCTGTGCAATGACTCTCACGATGGCTCTGCGCAATGACTCTTGTGATGACTCTATGCAATGGCTGTCATGATGACTCTGCGCAATGACTCTCATGATGATTCTGTGCAATGACTCTCACGATGACTCTGCGCAATGACTCTTGTGATGACTCTATGCAATGGCTGTCATGATGACTCTGCGCAATGACTCTCATGATGATTCTGTGCAATGACTCTCATGATGACCCTGCGCAATGACTCTCATGGATTCGGTGCAATGACTCTCACGATGACTCTGCGCAACGACTCTCGTGATGACTCCGTTGACTGACTCCTGTGTGATGACTCTATGCAATGGCTGTCATGATGACTCTGCGCAATGACTCTGGTGCGATGACTCTATGGCTGCGATGACTCTGCGCAATGACTTTCATGATGCTTGTGCGCAACGACTCTCATGATGACTCTGTGCAATGACTCTCATGATGGTTCTGCGCAAGGACTCTCATGATGATTCTGGGCAATGACTCTCATGCTGACTCACTCTTGTGATGACTCAGTCCAATGACGCTTGTGCGATGACCCTATGCAACGGCTGTCATGATGGCTCTGCGCAGTGACTCTCATGATAATAATTCTCCCAACGGATGCGCTAGCTGGTATCTGCAAGCTCTGTGAAATTTGCTTTGCGCAGGTTGCTCTGCGCAAGCGGCGGCGCTCTGTGCAAGGTTCTCTGCGCAAGTGCTGCCGGGATTTCGGGAAGTACTTCGCATACTAGTCTTCTGATTGAAAAGTTCCATTATGCAGCCGGAGCTGCAGGACTGTACTCCGCGCACTACAGTTGTCCTTAAAAGTTGCGGTTTTCCAGCCGGAGCTGCGTCCGCGTACTACGTTTGCACTTAAAAGTTGCGACTTCTGTCTAGAAAAGCTTCCGCGGACCAGGCGGGGATCGACCCCGCGACCGCGCGACTCCGAGAGCAGCCGCGCAAACCACGCGACAACTTCCAAAGACCACTTCGCAAGCAACAAATTCGCACGGCGCCACAGCGAGAGCGCTTCGACACGCACGGTCAGTTTTTGCACATCGACCACGCCGATCCCCGCAGAGGGTTCATCCTGGAATGTCAAAATCGCAATAAAACCCTCAGTTTTTTGGCCGCAGAAATCGTAAAAAGTCCTCAGTTTTTGACCTCAACCACACGAATCTCCGCAGAGGGTCGCGAGCGCACCGCAGAAATCGTAAAAAGTCCTCAGTTTTTTGACCTTGACCACACGAATCTCCGCAGAGGAGTGATTTTCGTAGAGCGCTGTCGGCCCTACCCCGCCGCCCTAAGAAGAGAAGAAAGTAATTTAAAACTCGTCATGAGTGAGAACTCTCATGAGCATTGCTCCTCGCCAGTGACTCTCACAAGCATTGCTCCTCGCAAGCGGCTCTCAGGAGCATTGCTCCTCGCCAGTGACTCTCACGAGCATTGCTCCTCGCAAGTGACTCTCTGCTATGACTCTGCGCAATGACTTTCATGATGATGATGACTCTGTGCAATGACTCTGATGATGATGACTCTTTGCAATGATTCTGATGATGATGACTCTGTGCAATGACTCTGATGATGATAACTCTTTGCAACGACTCTGATGATGATAACTCTTTGCAAAGACTCTGATGATGATGAGTCTTTGAAATGACTCTGATGATGATGACTCTGTGCAATGATGATAACTCTTTGCAATGACTCTCATGATGATGATGACTCTTTGCAATGACTCTGATGATGATGATAACTCTTTGCAATGACTCTCATGATGATGATGACTCTGTGCAATGACTCTGATGATGATTGATAACTCTTTGCAATGACTCTCACGATGATAACTCCCATGAATCCAACGGAAGAACCCTTCGCCATGCTTTCGGGAAAAACCCTACCCAAAATGGCTTGCCCGAACCAAAGACTAAAACCTGCGGCCCCCTTAAGGTTTAATTTTGACCCGTACCCAAATTGGGGAACCTCAAAGCTGGAGTTGAATACCCCACGCCGCTCTTTTTGATCATGGTGAAAGCTGCTCGAGGAATCTGCCCCCAACACAAGCAGGAAAATAGGGAATGTAGGGGGCGCCACTCCTTCCCTCACTAGCCTCCATTGGTTTGACTGACAGGTTGATCCTGGCGCCGCTGCACTGCCTGCCTTCCGTATGATGAACTTGTCCACGTCCTCACGCCGCGGCGTGATGATCAGCTGCTCCGACAAAGGAGACATCTCCTCAGGATGCTCCTCCTTCCATTGATCCACCAAGGCCTCGGCTGTTTGGCAGCGTGGTCCGTTGTACGGGGCATACCAGTCGTTTCGCAAAACATGCCCGTGTCTTGCTTTGCACAGCAAACTGAATTGCCTCGTACACGAAGGCCAAGACCTTCCAGTCTGGCCGGTGCTCCAGATGCCAACTCAACGCCTTCCTCAACTTCGTCAAGCTCGGTTTCTCAAAGCTTTCTCCTGGCACGGCTATGCTGCTATGCCTATGTCCCATGGCAGCCCCTGCGCATAGCTCAACCCCTGAGCTAGCAGAGCTAGCATTTAACCAGGCTTAGCTCCTTGGCAGGCAATGTTGCGGCCGTCCAGGAGGTACAGCTTGTCAAAGTTGGGCATTGCCGGCATAGGCCTGAAAGGCCCCAAAAACTGAAGAGTCGCAAAGGAAAGAGTACACAGATTGTGCACAAACTTAGATGCATCAATCTGTATGTACATGTTAAGTTCTGATCATATGCAAATGAATTCCAAAGTGCAAAAAGCGGCCAACCCCTAAAGGCTACACTGGCAAGCGATGAAGCAGGGCTTGCAGGCAAAACATCTTGAACGACGCGATCGCAAGATCTCGCAAGCACTCCTGCTGGTTGTGAGCTCGGTTGAATCAGAGGCCCGCGCTGCCTCTAGGAAAATGGCGCGGATGTATTTTGGGATGTTTTTCTGTCTTTTTGGAATTTCTTTCGTTTTTCGTCTTGGCCAGTAAAATGTTGTATTTTACAGCATTTTCTCGCGAAATTGACGCATTTTACACTAGCCCGTCAACACCCCATCGTTTTCAACATCCCCCGCATGTCCGACCAACATCCCTAGCATCACCAACAAATCGTGGGCAACAAAATCCAAAAAGTAGCTGGCGGGTTGACGGGGTCAAAAAAATGATTCAAACAGGATGCCATTTCAATCCCAGTGAAAAAACTATTTTTTTAAAAAAAAAGCGGGGGGGTTGGGGGGGGGGGGGGGGGGGCGGCAGCCCCCCCCATGATGGTCGCAGAAGTGATGATTCGAATAGGGGTGCAACTAAATCTCTGCAAAAAGTCTAAAAACTAGCGGTGGCCGCCCCATGATGTTCGAAGAATTGATGATTCAAGTAGGGGTGCAATGATTCAAGAAAGGGTGCGATAGAATTTAAAAGGCAGCGGGAGGGTTGGCGGGGGTGGCTTCCCCTATGATGTTCGAAGAAATGCATACAGACAGAAATACATGGATTTCACAGAGTACCTAAAATGTCGTATTTTGCAGCATTTTCTCGCGAAATTGGGCGCTCGAAAAAATGATGATTCAAACAGGGGCGCAATTCAATCTCTGCAAGAAATCTAAAAAGTAACGGGGGGAGGCGGCAACCCCCCCCCCATGATGTTTGAAGAAGAGTTGATTCAAATCGGGGTGCAATTACTCTGCAAACAATCTAAACAGCAGGGGGTGGGTTGGGGGGGGTGAGGCCCACTGCCGGGGCGCCTATCCCAGAAGGGAACTGGTGCCCTGTGGTAGTAGAGGTTGTTGATTTGGTCTGGAGGATGGATTGTCCCTGGTGGCTTGTGTTGACTGTAAATCCTGCGAAGCGGTCTGCAAGCCTTTTTTATCAATGTACCATGAGTCGAATGACTGTACCAATGACTTGAAGGGCCTTGAACCATCATGTCAGCGGAGTGTGTGAATAGGTCAATGTGCAACAAAAAGCAACACAAAACAGACACAATTTTCTTTTGACCTTTCACACCAAAGTGTATGATTGGCTTCTTGGCCTTATGTGCCGTAGCCATACTTGAAAGCGCCGTAGCCACATATTGTTACAATGATTCATCCATGTTTTGGCGCGGATGATTTGTCCTGTGAGCAAAATGGAAAACAGTCTGTACTGATTCTGTGAGATACCTAGATGTATCGAAAAGGTGATGCACAACGCTATGTACATGCGGGACGGATGTGAAACTATTGATCTCTCACTGAATAGTCTTGTTGGCGGTGAGGATCAATCTGGTTAGTTCGTAGCGTCGATCGTGGGAGTCTTCTCAGTCGGTCGAATAAGTGCCAAAGGTGGCTGCTTCATCAAGTGATCAGCGGTACCACCGGCGGCTGCTGTCGGATTGACTGCCATAGTCTCCATAATCATTCCAGGTCGAGTTGCCATAGTCTTTCCATTGCTTTGGATTGCCCCAGTACTGCTTGTTGTAGTCTTTGTACTCTTGCTGAGTCCAAGATTGCTTCTTCTTGAGGCGCTCCTTGGATCTCTCAAAGTTGCATTGGCTGTCGGCAGATCTGCTGCGGATGTAGACCATCAGCGGACTGTGAGAGTCGGAATCTTGTGACCCATTCATGAACATATCGTTGTTCACGCGCTTAAAACGTTTCGCGGATAGTCGAAAATGGCAGACGTGGGATCGTTCCGCGTGGCTTCCAGTTGTTCATCTCTCATGGTGTTCATCTCTTCCTTCCGAAAACCTGCTGGATATTCGTTTTGCCCCATCCAAACACGAATGTCATCATCACATCTGGGAATGTTCGGTCATACCCTGATCCAGTCTTCATGTATAAGTGATGACGGACAATGGATTTTAGGGTGCATGAGGTCTCCATTGCATACTCCATTCTGTCCACGAGTGGCAGATTCTCCGTCTCTGATATTCCTTCATGAGGATATTCATGAGACCTTTGGCCGGATTGAATACGTGCTGGAGTCTGCTGCAGGTATTCGCGGATTTGTTGGCGTCTCCAGTGATCGCATCACATTGGTACAATGTCACGAGTGGCAGGATTTCGTTCTGAAGATCTTCCCGTGCTGCCCCATGGCTGATTGATGGATGAATGTGGAAAACTCCAACGGTAGCAAACGGGATCTGCCCTCGTCACGCGGCGGCTGTCAAACTCGAGGAGTGATTTGTTGGATGATTTTGGGAGCATACCACGACACTCGTCACTCTGCTCGATGTGGAGAACGACAATATCTTTGTTACGTCCGTGTCCTTGGACAGCGGTGCGTGGTGGCAATCTCGGTCCGATGTACTTCTTGGATTCAGTAAACATGGATGGTCCCGTAGTTGCCAAGCAGTCCGAGGTCGGAATGTCGTATTCAGGATCAGTGCACTTTTCCTCGGTTCCGAAGAAGCATCTGAACATCCCGAATGCGGTTCCCCAATTCTGCCTCTTTGTGGAAATGTGTCTTGCCAATAGTTCCACTCGTGCGGAAGGTCCGCCACGGACAAAGCATGCAATTGGTCTGGATGACCATTGCTTGATAACGATGCCCTTGTACCCGAATCGGATGAACGTCTTGATGGGTTCTCTGGATTTATCATCTTGAGGACTGAGGAATGCGTCTGCTTCATTGAGGCATAAGATGTGTGCGCTGTTCTGCATCATCATCTTCACAATTGGTCGGTCCTTCATCGCCATGTTGTACACCTCCCTGCCGTCTAGCTTTGGGTTCCTCGTGAGGGTTTCCATGGTTCATAGTAAGCATGTTGATCGTCAGGGATGAGGTGAACTGGAGCGCTGTCGCTTCTTGGTCTCTGTGGATGTCGGATTTGTCCTTGTTTTGGTGGTCATTTTTCATATGTTTGAAGAAGGAATCGGCGAACTCTTGGATCTTGCTGGTGTACATCTCAATGTCTTCACGATCGAGATTTTTCTGCATGATCCAACTGTTACTCATTATGATGTTTCCCTCGGGATCAAATGCTGTAACAATGTTCCTCGCCTCGATGGTTTGCTCTGTCAATGCTGTTCGCTCTTCGGAGAGTCGGATGTCGTAGTCCTGGTCCTTGAGGAATGCCAGGATCAACAATGCATCTCTTCCTGTTGGCACATGTGTCAATGCTGCTTCTGACGCCTCGTCATCAAGGATAACGTCGTCGATGCACGCCATGCGGATGTGCAGTCTCCCCGAAGGGTTTGACTGAGATCTCCCAGATTTCAGCCCTTGCTCCATGATGTTGATCATATTTTCTCCATATGTAACATGGAAACTGAAAGTGATGGGCTTCTTCGCGAACGGATCTTTCTCTCTTCTTCAATGGATTGAGGTGCCGGCCTTCGCCTTCTGGACTTTGCCTGAGCTGCGCCTTCGTCTTCATGGGGCGCGTCTGATCTTGACGGATGCGGACTTGGAGGAATGGATTCCGTTGGAAGGTCATAGTCCGGTTCCTCTTGGCGAGGCTCACTCTTCTGCTCGGAGTACAGGGGTCGTCCAAAAGATTGGAGATCGACTTGTCGTGTATGACCGCTGTTGCATCTCACGTATCATTGAGGAATTCCTTGCCAATAGGCCGGAGTGCATCGCATGAGGATCTGGAGTTGAGAGTGTCGATCCGTCGATTTCTTGGAACAATGTCTCCCCTTGCCTTGCGCTCATTGTATGACCCGTCCACGGATGGAGACACGAATGCAATCTCGAAACGTGCCTTTCCATGGTTCGGGAACATAGCCATCAAAAGAAGTCCTGGCTTATTGCCCATGTATTTCCTGGCATGCGTAATGCAGGTCAATGCATCGTAGAGCTCAACGGACTTGTCGTTTGCATTCTCTGTGTTGGCCTTGCCTTGGATCGTGTCGAAAACATCCGGAAAACAATCTGCTCATTCTCTCGATTTGCCAGAGGATGAGGTCAGTAATCTGTTTTGCCTTGGATGGATCCATGTTGAAGTATTCGCAAACCTGTTCAACGTTCTGGACGGTCTTCTCGAGATCGATATGGCGGTTGTGACATACCATCGGAATGATGTCTGTTCCGAAGACTTCTGGCTGAGCATTGGTATAGCAGCAAATGCTGTAGACCTTCCTGATGAAGTCCATGTATTGTTTCTCTGTGCGTGGACCTTCACCTTGAAGCGTTGGCTTCCAGCAGTCATTGAATCTGGCCTTCAACCAGAATACCTTGGCTCCATGTTGTCGTTCATGCTCAGGGATGAAGTGGAATTCAGGGTTCGTCTCGAGGATGGTTGAGCACTCCTTGTAGTATTCGTACAAGAATTTGAGGAATCAAGAATTCCCGAAAGGTCCTGGATGTACGGATTCCCTCCGGAGGCTGATGTCCGTATCTGATCCATCTGGCACATGCCACCGGGGATGTGAGAGTTGGCCGCATCGCTGGTCGCCTTGGAAGTGCAGGTCGGTCCTGGATTGTCGGATTCTGTCTCCTCATCCAGGATGTTCTTTGGTGCTGGCTTAATCTTTGACATAAGCCTCAGTGTTGGTGGTGGTGATTTCGGAACCAGTTTCGGACGTTCGGCATTGGATTTCCTGCGGGAGGTTCCTCTTCGTCATCCAGGTCATCATCGTTGTCGGTATCTCGATCAGAATCAACCTGCTCCACGTTGACATTATCTGGTTGTTGAGAGGCGGATGGATTCTCATCGACAA